TGACGCATAGTAGGCCCTCCATAAATGTTTGTTGAATAAATAATAAAGTGGAAAGCGTGTGAACTTTGACATCGAGAAGACCCAAATTCTAACCCAAGCTCTGCCACTTTCTAATCATATTAATTTAGACAAGCTACTTAAATTTCTTGAGCCTCAGTTTCTCATCTATATAACAGAGATGGAAATATGTTTTGTGATCAGCTTTTCAGGCCATACCAGCCAGTCACTGGGCAGTGACTAAAAATATGCCAACAAAAAATAGTTTTTGTGAAATAGGCCTCTTTGATTTCCTCTCAAATAGCTCTGGGAGTGGGAAAGGGACATGTTACATGGAGACAATGTTGTCTCATCAGCAGTCTTTTAAAAATTATAGTCATCCAAGCAGCCCAGGAAATCTCTCGCTTCCCTGTTTTCTGGCCTTGGCACCTGGGGTGAATCTGCTGCCCAGTGGTCAAGGCCTGGACTGAGGCTGCAGGTGCCCAGTGCCTTCATGCTCCCAGGTCACTGTGTGCTTTCTGCTCCCACAGCCCCTCCAGAGCCCCGTGGGCTGCACTCTGCCATGAGCTGTCCAGCAAGGGTATCTCAGGTCATAATCTCTCACCTTAATATCTTTCAAGTGAAATGGCTTTGTTTGTCTCTGCTTCTTGTTCAGTCTCCCTAGGACTAAGGCAGGAGTCCCCAGAGCAGAGTCAGCAGATAGTATTAGTGACAAACAGCTTACAATACTCAAAACATCCCTCCCGCTTTCACCCAAATTTGCCCCGCTCTCCTTAGAATGGGTTGCTTCTTGGGACCTCCTTGATTCTTCAAGCAAAAAGGACACTTCCCATCAGCTTTTCAGCATTCGTAGCCCTGTCAGAACTCCTGAGTCCCAGCTTAGCAGTCAAGCCAGAACCTTCTTCACCTCCCGGCCCCCTACTCCTTCCTTACTTGCTTTGCAGGGTTGATGCTGGCATTCAATGAGAGAAAGTGGACAAAACACCAGACTTGGTGATGGCATCAAGAAGATACACAGTAAGTGTTGGTTTCTGTTACATTCCTTGGGATACTTCTGGCATCCCAGAAATTAATAGATCCATCACCTATCCCCTGAAGGGAGGCCCTGGCCACATGCACCCTTGAATCTTGGGACAGATGGTTTAAGTGCTGCATTACTTTGGTATCTAGGACAAGGTCAGAAAACTCACGATTAACAGACAGTCTTGGATGTAGGGCCCATTTTGAATTTTCCAAAATAGGAAATAGGAAGCTGAAGTAGGCCACGAGGCAGTGATGTCATGAGAGCAACATATCTGCACATGTACATATTACACATATGATTTTCCCAATTATGCACAGATATGCACTCTTCAAATGGGGTGTGGGTGTCACTAAGGGTGATGCCTCTGTCCTAACAGCTCCTGTATCTAAGACCCTCATTTCAGTCCTGAGAGGAAGCTGGAATTAGGCCTCAAAATGCACATGGGACAGAGAGAAGAAAACATGAAAGGGAAAAAATATGCAAAATAAACATCGTAGTCCAAATGAATGTCTTCTGGATGAATTAGAGAAGAAAAGAAGCATGGGAAATGTACTTTCCCATGAGGAATGAGCAGACGGGGGTCTCCAGGAGGTAGTTCTTTAACTGCTTTGATAGTGGCAAGTGTGAGACATTGCAGAAGCACCATCAGGAGAACCTTTGATGGGTTAGATGTGGGACTGTGACAGAGGAAAAGGAACAGAAGCAACCATGAGGTTACAAGCTGGAAGTGCCACATAGGCCTAGAGCTTAAAGCACTGAACTGAGAGTTGGAAGAGCTGTCTGCCACTTTGAACAAGTTGCTTATCCTCTCTTGGCTCAGTTTCTTCATCTGTAAAATGCCTCTATCAAATTCATCATGTTTGGGGGAGGCATAAATAAGATGATATTTATGCGAGAAAACACAGTGGACGAGGAGAAGGCAGCATAGTTCACCATCATCGTTTTCATCATTGTCAGTAGAAAAGCTGGAAAGGGATATAGTTTGAGGGATAATACAAGAAATTCAGTTTTACATATGCTAAGATGTTGGCATAATATCCAAGTAGAGAGAGCAGATAACAGCCAATGTGGGGGCACAAATTAAGGAGTTAATGAGGCAGGGCCTTTGTACACAGTTGGCCCTCCTTCTCCATATCTCGTTGGTTTACACCAGGAAAAATCACAGTATCAAACTAGATTCAAGAAAATATGCAGGTATTTGATGGACAAAGTACGTGATACACCTGCTCTGGGCTCTTGCCTTCTGGGGAAGGGAAGGATGGGTGGGACACAGGAGCTGTGGGATCAGGAACTAGGAGGAAAGATTAGAAAGTCACTCTTATAAAAGGGCTGACTTATAAAGCAGACTAAGAGGAAGGCCAGCAAGAGAGACCAGCTGCAGGAGATGTTGATGAGTGTGTGTGGAGGTGGGGGGTGGTCAGGAGAGTATCACTGCTTAGGACTTCAGGAGGCTGAGTGGAATGTGACCCATCCTGTATGGGAGGGTGAGGCCTCAACTATGTAGGGAAAATGGGACTTTGCTCCCCTATGAGCCCGATGAGCTCAGAACTGGACCTTCATTTAGATTAAGGGGGTAAAAGTTACCCAATAGAACTAAAAATCATGGGATAAAGCTAATTAATTAATTCTGTTTTTATTAATGATCAATTTATTAATTAAGACCTTGATAGGCTGTTAGAGAAGTTTAAGCTTAAACAGTGAAACCATGTACCTACAATAGATCAACTCTGCGTAGTATGTAACCTAGGAGCTCTACACTCACTGTGTAGAGTAAACTGGTTATATATTTTCACTCATTGTGCAAGTTGGGATAAAAGAAAATAAGGACCCTGGAGAGAAGAAAAAAGAGATAAGTCTGCAAACTCAAGGACATGGACAACTTCTTTAAAAATGTCTTTTCCAATAAACTTAAAAATGTTACCTTCTCCCAAGATTCTGACATTATCACCTAAAGGAAATGTTTTTCAAACTGGGGATCATAAAATCAATTTAGTTGGTCATGACCAGCAGTTGAAAAGACAAGAGTAAGCACTGTTTTAAATGGTTTTGTTTTAATTACACACATGGGCACACACACACACAAATGTGTACTGAATTGAGACATAATTGTATTTCTTATTTTGTTGTGGTTCACAACAAAAACAACAAAATGTACAAAACATTGCTCCCTCCCTGCCCTCCCTATTGAGATTATTTTATTTCCTGCATTTGCCCATACTTTCTTTAGTTTGAATGTGAAAACAAAAGGCCTCTCATTTATTTTTCAAATATGAAAGAATATTTAGTTTGAATGTGTTTTTCAAACAATCCCCTCCCTGTACCTGAAGATTCTTGTGTTTCCCCCAAGGGTCCAGAACGCCCCGGGTGAGAATCACTGGACAAAGGTATAGGGAAATCTTCTCCCTTGAGTAGTAGTAGCAGTATTAATCCCCAACAAGGAAGGCCAATAAACCTTCTGTTTGGAATGTTTGCTGAGTTTATTTCATCACACAGTTTCTGGAAAGAATGTAGAAGTCAGTGGGCCACCAAGAGTCCTATAAACTGACATTTCGGATCAATGAGTCTCCGGCAGATTAAATTAACAGGTGTCAGTCTCAGTTTGTCTCTATTCTAAAAGTGGTAGTATTTTAGCCTGGGTGATCTTTAAAATATGAAATAACTGGTCAGCATGGCTACTGGACAACCTGAATGAATATTGACCATAAACAGCCAGTAAGTATGTTCCATCTGCAGCTCACCTTGCACTTAGTAATGGAGGGAAAGTATGATTAAATACCTGGTCTTCACCCAAACAATATTTGTGAATTGTGAGAAGACATCTCCAGGCAAAAGCAAGAGCTAGAATTGGTCACTGTCAAAAAGTAGCAATGAGCTTTAAACACTTTTTTGTTTAAGTAATGAAGCTAGGAATAATCAGACATGATGTGAGAGAGAGCAATACACAACAGTGAAATGATGAAAGGTCTTCCTGGAAACCAGGACATTTGGAAACAAGAAGGAGGTAAAAGTAGGTTTAAAAAAAGTTTAAAACCTGTAAGGGAGGAATGGAAATGAAAAACAGGAAGATAATGGAATGAAGATATTTTCCTCAATTAGCCCAAGTCTGGAAAAACAAGACAGAATGAGAAAAAGTAAGAAGAATAAACCTAGGATGCTTTTCATGGAAAGAATATATTTTAAAGGACAGAGATCCTCTTCCCAAACAAGCAAATACCTAGGGAACCATACTTGCCTTAAGGATCTGGAATCCAAGACTAGGCTCAGAGATGAGGCAAGGCTGGGCCTCAGACTGTAACTGATGGAGCCAAAGGAAAGACAGCATCCATGGACAAAGCTGGGATGCCAAACAGCAAGTCCCACTGAAGTGTGAGGCCAAAGTATCTGGGCAAAGAGGCAGAAACAACCAGGTGCTGGGCAATGGAACAGGATCTGAGATCCCAGAACAAGGCAAGCAGTTTAGAACGACAGGTGGGAGGCAGAGCCTAGGAGTTTCCCAGGGCACTGGAATATCATCACAGAGTTTTTTATAGGGCTATTTAGGGTGACTGGAATATCATCACAGAGTTTTTTTATAGGGCTATTTAGGGTGCTAAGCTGGTTTTACATAAATGTAATGGGGCCAAGCCCTTAACCTCAACAAGAAATAATGCCACAACAACAACAACAAAAATAACAACAACCACTTTCGATATCCATTACAGGCCTTGGTTTGGATCCTGGTTCCATCACTCACTGGTGGCAGAATGGGTATATCTGACAAGTTACTTAACCCCCACCCCACGCCTTAGTTTTCTCTTCTTTTAAAATGTAGATAATAATAGTATTACACCCTCTCCCTGGATGATTGCATCCATTCCTGTGGCTTTAGGGATCTATGTGTTGACAACTCTCAAATTCATTTCTTCAACCCAAACCTCTCCTCTGAGTTTCAGATTCCTGCATCTAAATACAATTCAAACTTAAAAGAAAAATGAAATTCTTTGGATTCACTTTCAGGATCAAGGACCCTGGTCCTTGTCTAAAATTCCTCACCTCTATAAATGTCACCATCAGTTGATTCCTCAGTTCCTCCCTCTCCCTCAGTCTTAACATCCAACGCAGTGACTCCTGGTACAAAATCCAAAATCGTTTCCAAGGTCACAGCCCATCTCCTTAAGTCCTTCTATCCTTGCCTTAAAATGAGCCTGGCATGGCCATGAAAATGCACAAAAACTCTCTGGCCTCTGTCTCCCGAATTCACTGACCCTTTCCTCCTCTGTTCCCAGCTGCTGCTTCTCAGTGCTGCCTTTTCAGTTTTCCAGGCGCTGTTTGATTATGGGTTTTCCCAATTTTCTGTAGACCTCCTGGTATTTATAATCTGTTTGGGATATGTTCTCTGGCTCCCTCTGAGCCTTCCTCCTCAGAAAAGTTTCTTTTTTTTCCTTCAGCAGCCCAAAGTCCAAACCTTGTGTAAGAAAGACCTCCAAATTCCTTTCAGCCTAAATTTGGTTGTGCACAGAACTATGTCAGGTGGATCGGAGCAGGTAAGCAGAGAAAACAAAGTACTTCAAGAGAGAATGTGTGTTAGAAACATCCAACCTGACAGGTATAGCTTTTCATGGAAAAATACTTCCCCTTGTGTGCTGTGGCAGGTGGAGGGACTTAAGACCATCCTGAGGACAAGGCTGGATGTCTGTGAACAGCTCCTTTCCTGTTACACTGCTGCTGCCTCGCCCTCCTCACTTTCCCTTCCCGCTCCCACAGGAAAACCACAATATGCAGCCAGCCAGCTGGGTTATCAGCCAGAAGTGCACTTCCACGAAGTAGTTCAGGCCATAAAAGGCAGAATGATAAAGGATTCAAATGCAAGCGCCTTTGCCCTGATCCATCTAACGTGTGGTTTATACATCAAAACCTCAGAAATATTCAGGAAGCTGAGAAGCATTGTATGTGGTGAGGATGAACAGGGAGTGGGGGCAGATGCCTCACTGTTAGGGCAGGTTAAGAGTAACATTAACTCTCCTCACTTCCTCAAAGAAGGTACAAGATACCAATTTAGGAATAGTCTTTCATAGAAGATAATGGCTGGAACCTCACTTCAAATGCAACTTCCAGGTAGAAATCTTTGCATGACTACTGTTTTTCTAGGCCCTCTGGGATAGCCAAATCCTGTCAGTTTGTTCATTTTAGGATCTTCACCACCAGTGCCTGGCACATTGTAAACACTCATGAAATACATGTGGTATAAATAGAGCCCAGTGGGCAGCCCAGTGCCCTGTCTTTTCCCTGCCTTTTGCATTTTACATTTTTTAAATTGGAGTATAGTTGATTTACAATGTTATGTTAGTTTCAGGTGTACAATAAAGTGATTTAGTTATAAATATATATGTAAATAAATTATATATTTATATATATATATATATATTCCTTTTCAGATTCTTTTCCTTTATAGGTTACTATAAGATATTGAATACAGTTCCCTGTGCTATACTGTAAGACCTTGTTGTTTATCTCAATGTTTTTTGTTTTTAAATAACTATGATTGGTCCACTCAAAAGAACCCCAGGCAGTCTGGCAGGACAGGGACTCAGAGGTCTCAAATGAATACCAGAAAATGTGCATGGTGTTAACCATTCTTTAGACTCACATTCCACGGCATGCTCGTGCCTCTAAAGCAAGAACACTGGACCAGGCAGTGCTTTTCCTGTTATATAGAGGAATCGGGGGTGCAGAGAGGCTGCAGAACTCTTGGAATTTTGGAAGGGCCTGAGCTCATTAGAGCTCAGATCAGGGCTCTGCCACTTACAAATAACCTGGATAACAGCTGCGGTCTCTGCGGGCCTCATCTTCCTCTGTGACAGAGAATAACAATGCTTCCCTCAAAGGACTATTCTGTCCAAAGACTGAATTAAACAGATAATTAAAATAGGGTGATACAGGAAAGTGTGTACAAATTAGACACACAAAATAATAGTTTCCTTTTTCTACCCCCAGACTGAAAACAGCAGGCACACTTTGGTGAGGATAGTAAGATTTTTTTGTTACTTAAAAGAAAATCTTTTTGTCTGAAAATAAAGATCACATGAATAATAAATCAGTATTTATAGTAACATAAAAAGGCATTTCAATGATGTTAATTCTTGTCTCTGGCATATATATTTTCACACACACACACACACACACACCCCTCTCTTTCCTCATTAGCCAGCTTGAACCATCAGCCTGCAGAGAGGCCTCAGACAGGGGCCCAGGAAGCAAGGGTGAAGAAGCTTCCACTTCAGATCGGTTCTGAGACAATTTTTCCCCTTCCCTCAGGCTGAGATATTCTGCCATCTGTTTTGATTAAACCTTTCAAAATTCAACTTGTGTTTTTCCTTCCATTCCTTTGAAATCTCCTTTAATTTAACAGTCTTTAGGCTTTCTTCTTTCCCTTAACCACCATCTGGTGCTTCTATTTAAAAAAAAAAAAAGAAGAAGAAAGAAAGAAAGAAAAGAAAACACATACAACAAACACTCTGAGTTCCTTGGAAGAAAGGTATAATGATGAGGATAATTTATTCCCATAGTGAGGCCCATTACTATTTCCATGGCAACAGACTGTGATGTTCTGAACATGGGACTTTGTGATCATCACAAGAACAGGATGGCAAAAGGCCCTGTTCAGACTCTTTGTCATTATGGATGCTTTGGGTAGTCACCCTCAGTGGCTCCCAATTGTCTACAGAATTAAGTCCAAAGGCCTTAGCATGGCATTCAAGGCCTTCTCAGTCTGGTCCAGTCATTCCCAGGCTCATCATCTGCCAAACCCAGGCACCCGGTACTCTGGCCATTCTTCACAGCTCACTGTGTCCTGGACACATCACACTCTTTCACGCCTCCATGTCTTTCGTGTCATTTCTTCTCCTTAAAATGCCCAGCCTCCACTCCCCTTCCCCCACCTTTTTTTCTATATGTAATGAAATCCTCCTCATTCCAAAAGTTCAGCTCAAAAGTCACCTTCTAGATGGACTCTTCCCTCGCTACCCCAAGCAATAGAAATAACTCTCTTTTCTACAGGGATATTAACACCTAACATGTTGTATCACAGCTATGTTTGTCTCCTTTATTTGAATTTGCATCACTTGTTATTGGATACATGCTTGCCTCATTTTTGTAGAACACACCAATTATTTCACATGATTCCTCAAAGCATCATAAGGGCTGGGTGGGTAGCCATTTTATCCCTATTTTACTGTTGAGAACACAGGTTTAGGGAATGTAAGTGATGTTCATAGGTAATAAGTGGCAGAGCCAGATGCTACTGATTGAATGGAAAGAATGTGGACTTTGGAGTCAGGCATACTTGGGCTCAACTTATGTAACCTTCCTCTCTAACCTCCCATTTCTTCACCCGTGGAATGAAGATTAAATGAAGTCTTGTATGTAAAGGTCCTTGGCACATAATCAATAATTAGTGTTAGTTTTCTTCTTTCCCCTTCAAAGTCTACCTTCTAGTAGCATCTAGAAACAAAATTTTTCTTCCATTTTTGTTCCCCAAATTTTTATATGGGCTGAAATTCAGAAGAACAAGCCAATGAATATCTCCAGCATCTCCCAGAGGAAATATTTGCCTTAATTCCTTTACTTTTAATCTGGTCTAGTAAGAGAAGCCATCGAACAGTTGTAAAAATTAAACAAAGCAATGTAAGGATGGATGAAGCTCTTAGCATGGTGTTTGGTACACGGTAAGTACTCAGGATGCTTGCAATTACATTATTACTATTTCTTTCTCATCATTATCATTATTATCATCATTATTTTTTGCACGGCAGAACAAGAGGCCATGTGAGAATTGCAGAAATTAACAAGACAGCCCCATGACTCTGTCTTCATGCTTTTCTTACCAAAACCTGTCTTTTTGCTATAGTCATCTTTGCAGTCATTTCCTTCTATAAGATTGTAAGTTCTAGATAGGGCTTCTGTGACTTATCTGTCATTCTTCTATTGGGTGGACCTAAAACAAAGCCTTGCAGAGGAGAAGCCTTCAGTAAAGTTTGGTCAAAAGAAAGCTGAATAATATTTCTCTGAAAAGAGCTCCATTACTGAATTAAGACTCAAAAGCCTCTGGCCCTCTCATCATCATTAAGATGTCAATCTTCTGCTCAGCATCGCTAATCATCAGGGGAATGCAAATCAAAACCACAAGGAGATATCACCTCAGACCTGTCAGAATGGCTCTCATCAAAAAGAACAAAAATAACAAATGTTGGCAAGGACGTGGAGTAAAGGGAACCCTTGGATGCTATTGGTGGGAATGTAAATTGGTGCAGCCACTGTGGAAAACAGTCTGGAAGTTTCTTAAAAAACTGAAAATAGAACTACCATATGACCTAACAATTCCACTCTTGGGTATATTTCTGAAAAAAAAATAAAAACACTAATTTGGAAAGATACATGCATCCCAATGTTCACAGCAGCATTATTTACAATTGCCAAGATATGGAAGCAACCTAAGTGTCCATCAACAGACAAATGGACAAATGGACAACAAAAATGTACCATATATGTATGATGGAATACTACTCAGCCATAAAAAAGAATGAAATTTTGCCATTTGCAGCAACATGGGTGGACTTGGAGGGTAATATGCTAAGCGAAATAGTCAGACAGAGAAAGATAAATACTGTATATCACTTATACGTGGAATCTAAGAAATATAATAAACTAGTGAATATAAAAAAAAAAGAAGCAGACTCACAGATATAGAGAACAAACTAGTGGCTACCAGCGGGGAGACGGAAGTGGGAGGTGGGGCAAGATAGGGGTAGAGGATTAAGAGCTACAAACTATTAGGTATAAAATAAGCTACAAGTATTATTGTATAACACAAAGAATATAGCAGATATTTTATAATAACTATAAGTGGAGTGTAACCTTTAAAAATTGTGAATCACTATATTGTACACCTGTAATTTATATAATATTGTTCATCAACTATACCTCAATATAAAAAATTGTTTTAAAAGATGTCAGTCTTCACCAATGGCGTGTTTGCTGGGAAAACCATTTTTGAGAAGGTTGTACACTTCTATAG